GAAAAACCGAAAATTGACTTAATCATTATGCAAATTAGGTAATTAGTATCCACGGATTATTACCAAAAACTAATCAAAACCTAGCATTAGTTCAGAAAATCTATGTACCAAGTTTCATCAAAATCCAATGAGTGGTTGTTTAGATATCAGTGGAACAGTCATGGAACCACTAAAAAATAGCTAATTATCATGCAAATTAGGTAATTAATATGCACGGATTTTTACCAAAAACTAATCAAAATCTACATTAGTTCAGAGCATCTATGTACCAAGTTTCATCAAAATCCAATGAGTGGTTCTTTAGATATCAGTGGAACAGTCATAGAACAGCTAAAAAATAGCTAATTATCATGCAAATTAGGTAATTAACGAGCATGGATTTTTACCAAAACCTAATCAAATCTGCGCATTGGCCCAGAGCATCTATGCACCAAGTTTCATCAAAAACCGATGTATGGTTCTTGAGATAGCAGTGGAACAGTCGGACACACATACACACATACACACACACATACACACATACACACATACACACATACAGACACACTAACTGCAAAGACTCCCATTTTGTGCTTCGCACATGGGAGTCAAAAAGATATAGCAGTATTTTTTCAGTTAAAGTGCACTTGCACTCATTAACAAGCTTAATGTGCTTCTTGCACTGTTCACATGTTGAATCTGAATTTGTCATTTTTTAGCAGAGACAAACAAAACAGTGATCTCTGTGATGCACTCAAGATAAAAAATAAATTTCATTTTTTACATTGGTTTATTTTATCATAAAACCACAACATGTATAATTCACATTGCTTCTTCATGCCACCAACTGTGAGTAAATTCATTTTAAGTAAGTTAACGACATCATGATTGCAATGAGGCAGGGTACAAGCGAGTTGTAACTAAAAAAATAAATATTGAAATACAGTTATTCACAAATGATAGGAAGTTTACCTTACCTTCAGACTGATAATTAAACTGTTCCGCCCAATCACCTCTGCTTGCTACTAAGATTACAGTCAGTTTAACTCCAGACAAGCATGATGGGTTTCTAACTTTCAGCATTTGAAACCAGTTAATAATCTGAAAATAAACAGAAATATCACTTAAACTTTTCATTACCAGACTTTCTCGCCCAAAATTTACTTGTTCCTTGTATTCTTCAGTATTTGTCAACAGACAAAATTTGCTTAAATTTTCAGTTTTTACTCAAAAAATATTGCTATTTTTGTCCCAAGTACAGATTATAAACATGATTATTCTGTGAATTTGTGATGACAAGCCATGCATGGGCACAGTCCCTGTTATTTATCAAATCTAAGTTATATAGTTTTGTTCATAGTAACATAGTACAATACTTGTCAATATTGAGAGATATTCCACTGGAACATCATTATTTGAAACAAAATGGCCACCGGTTGGCCATTTTAAATTGGATCGTCAAATCAATATATAAGTATAATGAATATATAAAATTTGAACATAATCAGTCAAAGCACCTATAAGATATATCTTTAGAACTGCATTCATTAAAACAATCAGGGAACCATTATGTCTAATGTATGTACCAAGCTTGAACAAAATCCATCCATTTTTCACTGCAAACAATGACTGACTGATCTTCCACTTGTAAAGTACACTTAACTGCTACACCCAATATAAACTATATACACTTTGAAGAGAAAAACAGAAATATAATTTTTGGAAAATCAATCCATAAATGCCAACTATACCTATAACTACACAGATTAACCATATATATAAGTTTGGTAGCAATCGGCTGAATATTATTGAAGTTATCGCACCAACAAAAAAATAACAAAGTTGAATGACAGACTTTTTGCCACTACTATGACTTTCCCTTTATGTGCGGTGTTCATACTTGAAAAAAAACAGACCAAGGAATGCCTTAGAAATAGTTGGATGACATATTTAAATGTTGTTGTTTCAGGGATTTTGGGACAAAAAATTATTTGTTGATTATCAATCCTCAAATTGAAAAACAATTAGACATCCATATTCATAACATAATATCTTGTCTGTATAGCAATTCAGATCATACAACCCATTAAACTTTGCCTTAGCACCAAAATTGAACAAATATACTGATAGTTGTAAGTCGGCCATTTTGTATCACATCACGAAACTAAACACATGTATCAGTAAACCCATCATGTGTTTCACGTCAATACTAAAATTGAAAGAAATCAGTCCCTGCCTGAAAATTAAATGCCTGATGACATATTTAAATGTTGATTGTTTTTAGGACAAAAATGGCTGGCTCCATATCAGACATATGTTGAAAATGTTCATCTTATCCTCAGAATTTAGACATAACTGATATAGTTACCAGTGGTGCCAGATTTTTCTCACCGGCATCCACTACCAATATTCATAGTTTCAACATTTTGTAAACCATTTCTGTATGTAGCATCAAAGGTTCTGTTAATTGCATTCCAATTAATAAATGGGACAATAATGAATTGAAAATCACATTGGTATTCCCTGTGGGGTCTCCACTTGTAATCTCCGAAAAAGCTATTCAGTTTGAATGCATGTGTTGATACATAGATTTGGCCATTAACAGACAGATAATGATGTCAGATAGATCATGACTGATCATGACTAGTTAAACTCAAATATGCACATGTGCTTTTACTGAAACCTGCACTTTAAATTATTGGTGTTTTCAGACTGAACCATCTTTTAAAATAATTATCTTCTTACCCGGTTCATTTCTCTCTCCAAAATATCCAGAGGTCTGGTCACCTTCCCACTTACAAAGTCACAAACCTGGTACATTGCAATTATAGTAGCTTTATTTGCATGTAAAAACATAGCGTGACTGCAGAAATAACTCTCTTGTCCTGCCATATCTAATATAACCATTTTACCAACACCTGGCAATTCTTCTTTGGATATGTCAATGCCTGGGGTCAGCACATACTTATCTTCCCCTGGTGCAGGACCAGCTTTTGATTCGGATGTCTGGAATATGAGAAATATTTCATAATATAAATCCATACAATTTTATGATGGCAATGCAAACATGTATATTTTTGTTAATCACTGATATTAATATCATGTCATGTATATTTAATGAACATGTGCCTATAATTTGCCATTTACACCTGATCATACGCATAAAACGTGATCATAACAAATACTCACTTTGAGTAGGGAGTTCTTTAGAGTAGTTTTACCTGCACCTCCATCTCCACACAACAGTAGTTTTGATGTGTCAATGGGGATTCCTGGTTCAGTTTTTAGTTCTTTATAGACTCGTGCCTGTAAATTTAGAACAATTGTCCTGGGTAAGGTTGTATATATATTAGGTAATTGCTGGTTGGCAGAATATATATCAGTTTAGTATTCGACATATATGATTGAAAAAACAAAACAAAACAATACCGCTTTCACTTTCATCAACAATATCTCAGCTCCCTTGAAATATTCATCCATGAGATCACTTTCTGTACCAATTTTAGACCTCACATACTCAATTGGGGTCTTGCCGTCCTACAATTTAAATTGAAATGCTATTATTAAAACTTCAAGTCACTTCAACAGCATCTGCAAATTAACTTAATATACTTAATAATACCTCTTCAATTTTAAGTCTCCTTTCGACAAGACACATTTATTACATTGACATATCTGCAAGCTACGAACTACATTTTGTAGAGATCAACAAATCAGAGAAATATCCTATCTGATAATGGTGGAGAATATCCTGCAAAAATGTGCTTTATTCATAGCAAATGAATCCAGCTAAAATCTAATCATATATGCGTGAAGGACAAATTAACTCATGCTAAGAACACTTAGCATTAACTTTTGAAGTTATTTGGTAATTCTTGTTTCCATGTTGTTTCCATGCTTTCCCAACACTGATTAATACTTTCTAGGGTAACCCCTCCTGCAAATTTCATGAGAATCCATTAAAACTATTTTGAGTTATAAGTGAAAAATCATTCCTGAAAGTGCTGTTTCCATGGAAACCATACTCAGATCTCTACCAAAACACAGAAGGCATCCCAAACCCCCATCACTAATGCAAATTACATATTCTCACTAATACCTCTAATGTGATAATACTCCATCAACAACTTTTTGAGTCATAAATAAGGAAATTCCTGAAATTGATGGTGACATATTTAACCTGGAAATATATATTCATAATTCTGCTCATTATTTATATTCATAAGTGAATCATAAGCATACAAGTAAATTACAAACCTTATTTGGTGTTATCATATCAATATTATTGTCCAGTAAAATCGTCATGATATTCAATGCATTACATTTATCTTGTGATGTTGTGAGAAATGGGCTGTACACATCTATTATTGCAAACAGTGCATTCTCTTGTTTCTGAAAAATAATATTGGAAAAACATGGTTTCTGTGGTGTTTCAAAACAACTGTAAGAATAACTGGAAAACAAAAATTCAGTAAAAAACAAAACTAACACATTTAATGTGACAGTTTATGATTGCGTTATTGGTCAATTACAATTATACATAATATGTAAAATGCATGTACCAAATTTGAACAAAAACTGACAAAATACAAAATGGCTACCAATCAGCCATCTTTGATTGAATCAGTAAATCACTGCATGTGCAAATCCCAGATAAAGTACTAGACACATGCAAAAAATGAACAGATTTGGTCCACAGGGTAATGTAATATGACTCTGGAAGGACGAAGAATGAATTATAAGTCCCCGCTTTGAACTTTGTTCAAACAGGGACTAAAAAGTGGGGGCACATGTTAGAAGAACTGTGCAAAATATTTCCTTTCACTTAGTTAGCTGTTTTTTCAAGACGCTTCTACTACTATCTCAAACCTTTTTAAATTTTGCAATATTTTTCCCACATTTCAGGTGAAGAGAATTCTGTTTTTTGGATTGCACCAAATTTACAAGATGCGTAAACTAACCTTATTACGGTGACTAACATCTGCTGATTTAGATAATAAGAGTTTAACAACGTCCAATGAATTTCCATAGCATGCTCTCATCAGTGGTGTGTTGCCAATCTGTAATGTAAAATCAAATCATACAAATTTACTATCAATCTGCAAATTCAACATTATACCATAATTTTATGCATAAGAAATGTTTTTGATTGATCACCAGTAGGTGATTTTCCGTTCAACTATGCAATTTCTCAAGTTGCGTGAAAGACACACACCGAACATCTGCCGCAAGAATCGAACGATTTGATTTTGAACTTGGATTGCTTTATTTGTAAGCTCACATCGAAAAGCTTATCTTTGACAAGGGAACATTGCATTTGAATACCCTTACTTCATCAAAATTGAACATCATCAAATGTATACAGCACATTATTAAGCATGGAAATATCCTCCAAAATACTTTTGCGTTTGCCGAATCCCACGCGATGTTTGTCACCACTACAATGCTATAACCTTTGTTTGTACTGTTTTTATATTCAATTTCATGCATAACGCAGGATCTCGTAGTAAATGGAAAATGGTCTCTTGGCCAAAGATTATTGAAAACAAAAAATTAATCACATAAATGTATGTAATGCTTTCAATTTTATCAATGTTGTAAATAATTTGTTTAATATTAATAATATCAATAATAATTCAGATAACTTTAATAAGTTTTGTTATGGATCGTAAAAGTCAACTTCCACCTTTCAAATCCCAACACTGTTACTTAAATTTATCTTATTTTAATTATATGAATTATAGAATGTACACATTGTTTTATTTCACTAAATTCTGAGTGAAACCACTATTTGTTACAATTCCACAATTTAGTGGTGAATTTTTACATTACATAAATCCATACAAGTGTACTCACATCTTCGACAATATTGGGATTGGCACCATTGTTTAATAATAAGTCAACTATGGGTATTTTTCCATACCATGCAGCACAATGCAATGGAGCACGCTGAGCCTGACAAACAAGAGTACAATATAGCTTTCATTCACATTGCAATTTAGTAAATTTTCATTAGTTTTCATCGCTAAAAATGTGATTTATTCATTTATTATGCACCAAACCAATTACGATATAAATATATCTTTGGATGATGCATAGTATACACAAAAGCTGATGTTGATGCGCATCCTCACAATGACGCTACAAAATATCATAATTTATTTCAATATCATAAAACTCGTTTGATTTGATCTGCTGAATATTTTGTTCTTAATTGATATTTTATTATTTAGATGACAGATTAAATCATACTATCCCTATACATGAACCTCGAAGCAAACATATCTGCATAGATCCATGCATGTGTGTATACTCATGATTTCCCAATGTACCTGTTTCGAAATATACGTGTATGTACTTGGAATTGGCATCAGTAAAGTATTAGTGTATTCTTATAAATATGCTTAAAAGTTTGTTTTGGTTTTATCAATATGAAGCTAAGCATAAAATGGAATAGCTAACAGTTGGACATTTATACTTATTGACTTAATACCTATGGTAAAACAATATACTTACTGCATTGACAGCATTCACATTGGCACGTTTATTTATTAATGTCTCCACTGTAAGTATATGTCCATTCCGTGAAGCACTATGTAATGGAGTGTTTCCGTTCTGGGAAAAAAACGAAAACATTACATGTACATTAATTTGCATTGTAATATCGTTGTGCCACTAATCTGATGAGTTTATGCTCATAGATGTTACACATCAACAAAAGAATATACTCACTGTATTGACAGCATTTACATTGGCACCTTTATCTAATAGTGTCTTCACTGTAAGTGTATGTCCATTTCGTGCAGCACTATGTAATGGAGTATCCTTTCTCTGGGGGAGGAATGAAAACAATCAATCATTTTTGAGCAGGCCAATGAGCTAGCTTGTATCCTGCATAAGCTTAAAAGCCAATGCTACAATTTATTTCTGTACCTTGCCTAATTGATTTAATTTAGGCTATTGACAGCTTGTTAATTTGCATTTATTAAACTAAGCAATGTCAAAACATGATAATTTATAAACATTTGCAAATGATGGTAATGGCATTCCATTAGATACATTACTGTCTGATTGTTAATTTCATAATGGAGTCTTTGTCAATGGCATAGATCTAGCTGGCATGTATAAAGATGCATTTGATTTGCAGACACAAAAGAAGGATAATAATGTCAATAATTTTATTGAAACAAAAATAATTGGCAAATGAAACCATTATTCATTGCCTTTGCACTAAATTTAAACAAAATCGGTTAGTGTGCCAGAGAAAAATCTAAAAACAACTAAAAAATAAAATAGTTTGTTATATGTCACTGAAACCCCAAAAATTGGTCAAAAAGTGTCAGAGAAGTTAGTAAGGGCACTTGAAAATAAAACCTGAACATGACAGTCAGTAAGGATTCAAATCAAATCACATAAAACATGGAGTTGTGATAATGTCAGAAATTTGTCAAAGATCATAAACATTTATGATGATATGAGATAAAGATCTCATGAGTAACACATCAATGAATAACCAATAGCATCACAGAATAAGTGGGTGCTTGGAAATGTTCTATTGCATAAACATTCAGAATCGCAAAGCCGATGTATTTAACATGATTTGCGAATATGCAAGGACACAAACGGTCTGACATGAACACAAACCAGGTCTTTCACACTCCCTAATTTGCTATAGGATTCCTAGAAACATAGGTTTCTTTTGCAATTTTGTTATGATATCACAATTTGCGTGGCTTCTTCACTTCGTGTGTGATCTTCAAAACATATCACACCCTTGCATACCCTAATCTTATAAATTAATATATAATGAGGTTATTACGAGGATACCTCAAAGTATGCACAAAGACAGTACAGCTGGAGTATCAACCGACATGCAGCAAAGGTTGATGCACAGCGTACTGTCTGAGTGTATATTTTGGGGTATACTCGTAATAACCTTATTATTATACATCTTTTCCTTCCAGGGATACACCACACCATGGGAATGTTGAAATCCAAAATTTTTAAAACAGAATCAGCGAACTTCTTTGTGTGGAGTTCGGTCAAACTCTAGTGGCAGCCATGTTTGTTTTTATTATTAGAGGATGCTTACGCGCGTAATCATTCCATATATGGAATTCGCATTTCCTACTATGGTAGGATGAAAATACCCTGTAAAATACCACAAAATTACGGCATTCTGTAACTTATGGTGTTACAGTGTATAATACACAATATCAGCAAATCAGGAATTATTCAGCCACAAAATGATTTTTGAGAATTATGGATTATATTTGCCATTTAAAATGTGTGAAAACAATTAGTCGATAATTGCATACTATAATATTCTTATTGTGTAATATTATCACGATTTAGTGATGACCTCAGACACATATATACACCATAAGTATACTCACGTCATCGACAGCACTAATATCAGCACCATTATTCAATAATAATTCTGCAACTGATGCATTCGCTCCAACCAAATGTAATGGAGTCAGCTTCCACTGTATGCAAATGAGTCACATGAAAGTTGATAATTAGCAATGAGGAATCACTCTGCTGAATTAATTAATTGTTTAATTTATCAATTATTTGATTGATTTAATGAAAGAATGCAGTTGAATGAATGCAGCTGAATAAATAAAAAAAATAATGAAATACATGTAATTAATTATATAATTAATTATATAATTAATTAATTATAAATTAATTACAGTATTGTAAGAAATTAATCATATGTCTACCTAATTCTAATCCTTATTAACATTACTTGAGAACAAAACATTATTTTGTATATTTTATGCGAGTCAAATAAAGACTGACTCAGCCACAGTGACTTCATGTTTTCATAACAGACAAGGGTAATCACAAAAGTTAGTCGGCTATGTTTGTGTTTTCCCAGACTTTTGGACTGCCACTGTGACAGTTTAATTTGTGTTGCAAATATGTGAAAGAAGGTACAAAGGTAATTAACCTTTTTACCACCAGACTTTCTCGCCCTAATTTTTCTGCATATTTTTCTTATAATTTTTCACTATTTCTGGAAAAGAACCCTGTTTTTGGAGCCAACAGACAAAATTTTAGTCAATTTTCAGTTTTTACTCAAAAAAATTTACTATTTTTGTCCCAGTCGTCTGAAGGGAAGTGCAGACTATAAACAGAACTATTTTGTATGTGTATATGGAAGGAACTACTGTAACAGTAAAACACTTTATTTTAGCTGGAATTAATTTTTGCTGAAAAGACTTTTTTGGGTGTTTTGTATGGAAATTATTTTCACTGATTTCTGACGAGTTGAATGTAAAATATAGGTAGAAAGGTATATTCACTGGATCTTATTATTCCTTCAGCGAAAATAGTGAAAATTAATTCCAAGCGAAAATAAAGTATTTTACAGTAATCAAAATTGAGTGGTTATTCCTTAATTATATTATACCAACTTTATTTTAAAGATATTTAATAAAAATAATTTTAAAGCATCCCAAGACCAAGTTCAAATGTTATACAACATCTGAATATACTGAGCAGCAGCTCAAATTGACACCATACGTATCATAGAAATTATACTCACTAAGCTGTCTGCAGCATTCACATTGGCTTTTGCATTAATCAACACTTCTGCTATAGCTGTATACCCATGACGTGCGGCATAATGTAAAGCAGTTTGGTTATACTGTAACAATATACGAATAATTAATCTTGTGGGATGGAGCTACTTATAATTGACTATCACTATCGACCACACAGTAAACAAGTCATCAATTGAGTCAATGACATCACCCCTGCATAAACTTTTACAAATGAATGACATATTTTGAACTTTAGAGACCTCATCAATAGACTTTGATTGTGCAATTGTATCTACATATGTAATGTGTTGTTTAACACCTATATGTAAAGTCTGAATAGAATTGGTCAATACCTTGCTGAGAACAGGCACAAACATTATTTCACTCTACCAGAATTTCCCAACTATATTTTGACCTAAAAATTATTATACACTTTGATTGTGAAACTGTGTTTAGCAACATATGTGATGTTTTAGACAATACGTAAAGTTTGAATGAAATTGATCGAGGCAGAGAACAGGCAAAAACGTCATTTTCACCTATTTAAACCAAAAATTGCATATTTTGATACAAAGAAACCCTTTTAATTGACTTTGATTGTAAAATGGTGTAAAATGATAACAACAGTTTTCACAAAATGAAAAAAAAAATATTTTTCAAAATTTAAGATTATATCTTTACAAAATGAATGAATCTGAGAGAGATCCACCTGAGGTGCCAACATGTAAAATATTGAAGCAATGGGGCTAGCAGTTTCCAAGCAGTTAAAAATATACAGTTGGTGACGGAAGTTGAAGAAGACAATCAGTAACATGATCATTTCCACTCGACTTGTACCAAGATTTGAACAAAATTGGTTCATGCATGACCAAGGTTTCGCAGAGACACATGCACAGATGCAAGCACAGACAATCGGAATCAAACTTCCAATTCTGACTTAGTGATTACAAATAATTTGTCCAGATGGCACAGTAAAAGTATTTGATGCATTTGCTGAGTCATTGAATACTGGATCAGATTTTACTATAGGATCGAAGGAAACACACGTTCCATGTATGATAAATATATCAATGACATCACATACATAATTTGCATCCGGTTCATCTACTGGTCGTCCTGCAGCAAGTAAACGTTTCACACCATCAATATCATTCTTCCGAGCAGCTGCATACACAGTATTGTATTTCTAATAAGAATGATAGTAGGAATAAACATGTATCAGTTTATCAAATAACCAGGGCATCCGACTAATAAAGAAACTTCAACAAGTTCAAAATTCAGCAGCTCGTCTTGTCTGCAAGCGGAGTTTATCTTCTCACATTTCACCACTTTTATTGTATTTATCGTTTCATTGTCTGTCTTCCAGTTAACAGACGTATTGAATATAACATTTCAAGTTTATGCTACTTATCAATAAGTAACACTGGAACACGATATCTATCAGATCTTTTACATAAATAGCATCAGCTAGACAATTTATATGTTTGTCATCAGGCGATCGTATATTAACGAAACCACGCACCAAGACTACATCATACAGTGAACATGCATTCCAATGTTCAGGTTCGAACAATTGGAATTGCATACCCTTCTAAATCCGCCATTCAGTCTCACATTCATCATTTATGAGGGCACTAAAAACATATCACTGTAGTCAATTTTACTAGTTTTAATTTGTTTTTCTTTTCTATAGTTCTTGTGATTTTTATTGATAGTCTTTTACATTATGTAATGCGCATAGTGCTCATTTTAGGAGAATATGTGCATGATAAGTCCTCTAAATAATAATAATGATAATGTACAAGAAATGCTGGGTAAATTAATCATTATCTTAGACTTTCAAGTTGAAAACTCCCTTCAACAACATGTAGTTTATCATTAAAATTATCAAATACACGAATTATGTAATAACCTCAGTTTGTCCAATAATTAGCAGTGATTAAAGTTTCCAAATTTTGCCTCTCCTGCTTTTTTTTTTACTGCACCCCTGCACGTTTGGAACATTTTTCAATTTGTCCCACCTTTGGGTTTGTTGACCTCGGGTCATGCAATATGTAAAAGCCCACAAACGATAAATATGCAAACGCTATCAATTCGGGAACCCGAAATTGGCAAAATATAAAAATATGCTACATGTATGTTCTCAGAAGATTCAACAGGTAGGCCAAGAGGTCATCAGTTTGCCTTGCCGTTTCACGGTGAAAAACGATCAAGCGTTGAAAATAAAGCTAGAATTTTAATTTTTGTTCACATTTACAAGCAATAAGTTAATATTTTTGTCATGAAGTGAAGTGTGTTGTGTATTTTAGAAATTTGCAAAAAAATGTGTTTCTTAAATGCAACTTTTTTGTGAGACCATCAGCCTAATTGCTTTTGTATGTGATATGTAGATTCTTTGGATGGACTTCTAACAATTGTTCCAGTTCTTAATAATGTCATTAATTCTCCATTTTTTTTTCATTTAAAACCTCTTAAAAACTATCTGTCTGATTGGTTTGATTTCCTTCATATCTGGAATGTACATGTTTTGGGACATTGTCTTTTACATGACATCATACCCTAGAAACCACGACGACATGAAAACTATGGTCATGTGACCACTTATACCCCCCCCCAGTAGTATCCATACATCATATTACAGCAAACCATTATGGATACAGGTATGCAGTGTGTGCTCTAACAAGTCTGATATGTGGGATTCTGAGTCAAAAGGAAATCCCCCCCAAATCAAGTTGAGTCAGCTTGTTGACTGCTAGAAAGGTCAGTCTTCAAGAAAACAAATAAAATTCTATGTGACTGTATAGGTGACTTGAATTACAACCAAAAACATTATCGCCTCGGATTTCCTTCATTTTTACACTCAATTTTTCTGTTGCGTGAATTAGCACAACTAGTTGCGCCACTGCAAATATTTATACACCAGTTTTGTGTCAAATGTCACACTGCAGCTATGCTACCAGATGGATTATATCAACATTCATCACAGCAGTGAGGTGGGCATGTCATGAAAACCAAACCAATACCATAGGAATATAAACATTGCCATTATATTAAGTAAAAAAATATATCTTCGACACCTAGCAACCCATAGTAACCAAAATGATATATAGTTCATATTTTGATTACACATTCATTCAAGTTTGTTGGTGTGTATGTCTCTAGTAACCACTGGTATATTCATATCTAATCTAATCTGCTAGACAAAACTGTAGTGTACATGTGTACACATATATACATATAAATTCATATCATTACTAAGCGATGAGAAAATGTCAATTCTTTTAGCATAATATTTAAAAATCTGTTTTAATATGAGACAGCAGCACCACATAAACTACCGGGGTAAACCAGTAATACATTACTTGAATACAAATTAATATTATTTTTTAGACGAATTTTAGTATTTGCATTTGTTGTTTCAATATTTTTTTTTTTACTAATATCTTTGCTTTATGTAGTTGTTTTTATGTAGTTATTTTTCCTACACTAATGTCTGATTTTATGTTATGATTTTTGTTATGTGTAAATAAACAAACAAACAAATGTTTATATACTGTAAAGGGGGTAATTATTCACTGGGTTTTAATTTAGCTCATTTCGCTGACTGGAAAAATGTGCTAAATTAAAACACAGTGAATATGTAAAATTTAGCATAAAACACATTATCTAAATGACGAAACCGTGAATTTAAAACCCACTGAATATGCCTGAAATGGTAAATCAGTGAAATTTAAACCCAGTGAAAATTAGTCATTTTACAGTAGCTTCCAGTTTTTAGAAATTAGGCTCAAATTAAAAAAATGTCAAAATTATTATGTTATTATCACAGTTATTGGTTATAGTTAAAGCGAGGAAGTCGTCACCTGCGCATGCGTCAGATGGCCATAGCATGTCACTGTTTACAAACAAGCATTTACCCATGAGCCTTTGCATTTTTAGCGTGTGTTGTTTTAATCGTTTGGGACTCAATTCCCACGCATGCGCAGTGATGACTCTCTCGCTTTAAAGGTATTGGTTATGCAGATGAAGTACTGTTTCAACTGTGATCCTCTTCTGGTCTGTCTAGTCTGAGAGCAATGTATATGTTATAGAATGATAAGCGATCTAATGATCTCACTAATGATACTGTTATTTTCTGCATCAATGTGGATTCTTATAATAAATGCATGTTTCGCTGTAATTTGATAGAACAGAGCTTTTATATTTGTAGATGTTTGTTGTGCTTCTCAGTTTCTTTGATCGTGCATTAATCTTTAAAACAGGTAAAATTATAGTTGTTGCTACGGTGATGTGTTTTATGACAAATACACAAAATACTTTTCAGGGTTCTCCCTAAAGCATTATACAGTAGGCGCTCCCAACTGTTTCATTTTAGATAAACTAGCATAATTTTGCATAACAATGACTACAATAAAGATGATTAACATATTAAATTGTTATGTAAATTAACTGATACTGTAAGCTATTTTTCTGGGGAGGACGCTACTTTTTTTTTTTTTTTTTTTTTTTTTATTATGAGTGTCCATGTAGATATAAACATTGAAAGATAAACTTCAAGAAAGGATGTCCGAGTCATTGGAGCCAGACAAACTATAAATAATTGACTAGACTAGTTGATATTTCTGCGAAGCACAGCAGGTACATTTCCTAGATATTAAATTGATTATTTACTAGTATTAACTAATTAATACTTTAAAATTTACCCCCAATAAAGTTACGTACAGTTTTTTTGTTCAATCCCATATGTCTATTGTGCGCAGGGGCAAAAGAGTGGAACCCAGTCTACTACAACATATATAACTAAAGCCAGCCCAGACGTCCATGGACGTCCACACGGAAATAGAAATTTAATTCTTCTTTACCTTAGACATTTCGTAAAGCAGTTACTAATCGAGGCACTCATTTGTCATTCCCACTATCGGTGTACCGTTACTGATCCTCCCAAATGTTCGGTGAATCGTGTTTTCCACGAGGCTCACGAGAGTGCTATTGGTGTTGTTTGTAACATAAAAACTATCGTCTAAGTTTGATGCAACGCGACTGACATAATGACCCAAGTATTTCCATGGTATCGCGTCGTTCGTACAAAAACTAGTCCACTAGAGGGCGTGTAAAAGTTCCCGGATGAAAAATGAAACCGACCGTTGTATTCGAATTGGGGGCATTTCGCCCAATTACCACTTCGCCCGAACGGTTTCGCCCGATTACCTGTTCGCCCGATTACCAGTTCGCCTGATTCCTCGTATGTTTGGTATTTACGTGTAGTCAAAACAAGATAACGTAGAAGTCGAAATTTGTTTTTATAATAATAATAATAATAATAATAATAAACTTTATTGATATCGTATCCTTTATAGGATATTGAGTTAAATTACAATAAAGTGTGGATGAAAAAAACACAAGAAAGACAATAAGATAAAATATCATAAAAATGATAACAGAAAAAAAAAACCTTGCAGATATGCCTTGATATTAATATTGT